AGCTATGAGTTATAGATGGAGAAGGAAATGGCACCCCACTCCAGTGCTCTTGCCTGGAAAATCCCATGGATGGAGGAGCCTGGTAGGCTACAGTCCATGGGGTTTCGAAGAGTCGGACACGGCTGAGCGACTTCACTTTCACTTTTCACTTTCATGCATTGGAGAAGGAAATGGCACCCACTCCAGTGTTCTTGCCTGGAGAATCCCAGGGACGAGAGAGATTCGTGGGCGGCCGTCTATGGGATCGCACAGAGTTGGACACGACTGAAGCGACTTAGCAGCAGCAGCAGCAGCCATTCATGATGGATTGGCTATGTCTCCCATGGAAGGGGAGGGAATATTTAAGGCATGCCTGTGAGGTATTTGCCATGTGTGCTCCACATAAATTATTTACTATAAATGACCTGGCCTTCTCATTGTCCTACAAAATATACCTGGCAGTTTCTGATCAGCTCCTATCTTCCTCTTCCTCTCAGCCTACTCGTATCCTACCCTTGTTTCTCAATTACCTTTGTCTAAAATGTAACTACTACACACATTTCCAAAACAACCATTCTTCCCCAATGGGATAGTCATAAGGTATAAGGTTCTAAAAAAATAAGCCAGAAGTAATCATGCTTTAAGGAATTTTAGGGAATCATTTCTTCAAAGAGGGTGATGCTCAATATCAGTTCATTGATATGCACTGAAGTCTAAAGGTTTCCCTGATGACTCATGATGAAAAATCTGCCTGGGTTCCATCCATAGATTGGAAGACCTGGGTTTGATTCCTGGATAGGGAAGATCCCCTGGAGAAGGGAATGGTCCCCCACTCTAGTATTCTTGCCTGGAGAATTCCATGGACAGACGATCCTGCCGGGCTACAGTCCATGGGATCACAGAGTCAGATACAATTGAGTGACTAGCACTTTCACTAAAATTTAAAAATCTGACTGGCCTATGGCCTAGCGAATCCTTTACTCTAATTTGGCCATGTGAACGAAGAGAAAGGAAACAAGGATTTTCATCGCAATATTATATAAAATTACAAAATATTAGAAATAATATTAATGGCCATAATTGGGAAAATGGATAAATAAAATCTGGGAGATTCTGCGGCAGTCTTTTCTAGGAAGTAGATCTTTATGTGCAACATGGTTGGATTCCCAAGGCAAAGCATTGGATGAAAAAAGTGAACTGCAAAATTTATAACCATGACCACAGTTAGTTCCCAAATTGTACACAAGGAAGCACAGCCACAGTAGACATCTGCTGGATTCCGTGCAAACCCTGAGCTCAAGGAGGTCCACAGTCCCAATATTGGTGGTTAAGTCACTAAGTCATGTCCGACTCTTGCAACCCCATGGATTGTAGCCCACCAGGCTCCACTGTCCATGTTTTCCAGACAAGAATACTGGAGTGGCTTGCCATTTCCTTCTCCAGGGGATCTTCTCAACCCAGGAATCAAACCCAGGTCTCCCGCATTGCAGGCAGATTCTTTCCCAACTGAGCTATGAGGGAATACCCAGTCCCAATATTAGCACACACTAAATTGGTTTTAATGTCATACTTTTTCCAAAGTTGGGTTTCCCATGGTTGCTGTGATTTAAAAATAAAAAAAATAAAAAAAAACAAGTCCTGTGCAAATTAGGAATTTGGTAAGGAACAGGCAACGAGTATGGCAATGTCTGATCTGGTCCCAGGGTTTGAGAGCCATGAAGTGTCCAACAGGCACACATTGCTGGTTAGTAGGTAATTATGGTTAAGAATGAACTGGATACTATTTTCACCTGTGTAATGTTTTGAATTGCTACTAAGGCCATAATGGCTATGTTCAGTTCAGTTCAGTTCAGTTCAATCGCTCAGTTGTGTCCGACTCTGCGACCCCATGAATTGCAGCATGCCAGGCCTCC